TTTCATGCAAGTAATTTGTATCTGTTGTTTTTTTCTGATGTTCTACGGACGGACTGTAAAGAAAGCGGTGATATTGTGGACATATGATCCAGCCGAAAGAGACGCGAGGCTCGCGAATGAGGCGCTAAAGTCGAAAAGGAAAAGCATCACACAGTTACAAGTGATAGTCGAGATAGCATGTGCCACTTCACCTCATCATTTGGTGTCTGTAAGGCAAGCATATTGCTTTCTGTTCGGCTCCTCGCTTGAAGAAGACATCATATCCAACATCTCTCTTCCTGTTCAAAAGGTATTTATTTATTTATTTATTTATTGTCAATTGAAAAGAAAAGAAGGCTTTGTGCTTTTGTTTAATCGCTTGGGGGACTAATACTAACTGATGATTTTCGGGACAGATATTGGTTAGCTTGGTGAGATCCTACAGGTATGATAAAGAGCTGGTGGATTCTAATGTAGCCAATATCGAGGCAGCTAAACTACACGAAGCGGTTGAAGCCAAGAAACTCGATGATGATGAGCTCGTGCGTGTACTAAGTACAAGGAATATTTATCAGCTCAGAGAGACTTTCAAGTTTTATAAGGATAATTATGGGAAATCCATAGATCAGGTTATATGTTTATTATCTAGATCATCGAAAAACGGCTTTTTTCCTTTTTCTTTTTTCTTTTAAGTATTCCGATTTTGAATATTCTACTCTACAGGACATTGTGGCTTGTGGGAAGGGCATTTTTGAGACTATTATGAAAGTGGTGATTTGGTGCTTAGATATCCCAGAGAAACACTTTGCAGAGGTAATTGAAAATCTAATTTTTATTATCAATCACCTTCGTGGTAAATTGGAATAACATTATAACCGTTTGAGTATGATACGGACATGTTCAGGTTATAAGATCTTCAATTGTGGGTCTGGGGACAGATGAAGATTCATTGACACGAGCAGTGGTGACTCGGGCTGAAATCGACATGATGAAAATCAGAGGAGAGTATTTCAATACCTACAAGTCGAGCATGGACAATGCGGTTATCGGGGACACTTCAGGGGACTACAAGGACTTCCTCATGACTTTGCTTGGATCAAACATATGATCTGTTTGTTTTATCTTAGATAATTTGTGTAATAATAAAGATGGTGTCGGATTGGAAGTTGAAGATAATAATAAATAAACGTTATTTGCTACTTGTTCTGTAGTAATATGCAAGTGTATTATGTATTGCATAATCTTGGCCCGTCGGGACAGAGATCATTCATTGCACGTAGAAAAACGTTGAGCTGCAATTCATAGGATTTTGTTGTCTCTTGATGTGAATGCATATTGTACTGGATGGTTATCAATTCCAGAAAAATTACCAATGGAAACTTTTGTCTGTTTTGTATGTACTATCAAACATACATGATATAGTACATAAGAATAGCTCGGTAGAACTAGTCAAGGTTAGCTCGGCTAAGGGACCGGAGTTAGCTAGGAGGCTGGTTTAGAAACAGCTCACCAATATTAATAGCTCGGCACAGAAGTAGCTCGGGCGAAGACATTAATATCAGTTGTTCGGCACATGAGTAGCTCGAGCGAAGACATTAATATCGATAGCTCGGCATAGGAGTAGCTCGACTTTCATGAGGCTTGTAAGTATTAGCAGAGCGACACAGAAGCAGTTCGGACAATATATGCCCGGTGAGAAAATGGCTTTGCAAGTCTTGAGCTCTGTATATTGTAGCAAAGATCTTTTATAGCCAAGGGCTGACCTATAGAGGCGGTCAATTACAGGATGTCCATAAAGGACACGTGTAGGGTCTGGACAGAAAGGGAATAAAATATCTAACGGACGAGAACAAGACTTATTCAGGAAGCTAATAACTCTATATAAATAGGTAAGATTGGAAAAATGTAAGGTTAATTACACTCTATACTCTAACCTATTTTATACGGTTGAATACAACTTTCCACGACAGTTGTCAGAGGTTTTATGCCGGGAACACCTCCCACGTATTTCCAGGTCTCCGAGGAACAAATCGGTCGAGGATTGTTGGAAGGCCAAATCGAGATGCGAGAGCACATCAATACGTATGTCCCCAAACTTTTCAAATGAAACAGATAGCACAGAACTGTTAGTTTTTTGATTAAGTTTTGTCCCACATCGAATGTGTACCAAAGATGTGTAGGATCTTTTTAGTATAAATAGGTCCCTTGCCTTTGGGTTACAATTGCACCTTATTCTATTCTCTCCTATTTAGAATGAAATCCTTAATTGAGGAAATCATATTTTGTGGGTTATTTAACCCTAGTTGTATTTTGTTGGTGAGTTTAGTAAATTTGGCGTTGCGGTTGGCGGTGCCCGGAGACGTAGGCTATTTTCGCCCAACTCCGTTATCAATTTTTGTGTTCTTTTCTTTCTCGTCTTTTATTTATTTGTGTTGGCTTATTTTGGAGTAGTGTTCGCCATATTCGTTGGAGGGGTATTTTTGTCCGCTGCGCTTGTTGTGATACCCCAACAAGTGGTATCAGAGCCGAAGGTTCGTCCCAGGCTCATTTGGAGAGGCGAGCACTGCATTCGGGTCCGAGATGTCCAAGGAGGTTAAGGGCGCATCATCCTCTGCATTCATTCCGGCAAGGACGGTGATGCCGAACGTCAGACTACGGGACCGGTCATTTCGGCATGTGGCAAGGCGAGATTTTGGATTGTCTATTTCAGCAAGGCGTCGACATTGCGATTGAAGAAAAGATGCCAACAGACGTTGAAGAGAAGGACTGGAAGAATATCAACTGCTTAGCATGTGGAACAATTCGTTCGTTTTTGTTGAGGGAGCAGAAGTACGCGTTCAAGAATGAGAACTCTGCTCACACTTTGTGGAAGGCTTTGGAGGATAAATTTCTGAAGAAAAGCGCCAGAATAAGCTCCTCATGAAGAAGCGATTGTTCCGTTTTGAGTACCGGCATGGCACATCGATGAATGATCACGTCACTGCATTCAATCAGTTAGCTGCAGATTTGTTGAACTTGGACGTCACATTCATCGATGAAGATTTGGCTCTTATGTTGTTATCATCACTTCCAGATGACTTCGAGCACTTAGAGACTACTCTGCTCCATGGGAAGGACGATGTAACTCTTGCAGTGGTCAGTTCTGCTCTGTATAGTTACGAGTTGAGGAAGAAGAACAAACAAGAGACGAAGAATGCAACAGCAAAAGATGAAGCGTTGGTTGCAAGAGGTTGGTCGAAGAGCCAAAAGAAGAATGGACGAGGAAGATCATGTTCCAAAGCCAAGCTTGAAAAAGACGAGTGTGCTTTCTGCCATGAGAAGGGACACTGGAAGAAAGACTGTCCTAAGTTGAAGAAGAAGGGCAAATCTCCTCAAGATGCATATGTTGCTGAGGGTGGAAGTGAAGACTCAGAATTTTCACTTGTGGTTTCACCTTCATCATCTCATCTAGACGAATGGATTTTGGAATCAGGACGCACCTACCATATGTCTCCCATAAGGGAGTAGTTCTTCAATTTTCAGGAGATCAATGGAGGGGTTGTCTATATGGGCAATGATAATGCCTGTAAGACAACTGGGATAGGTTCAATCCGTTTGAAGAATCGCGACGGTTCCACCAGAGTTTTGACGGATGTTCGGTACGTGCCGAGTTTGAAGAAAAACCTCATCTCATTAGGAGCCTTGGAATCCAAAGGCTTGATTGTGACTTTGCGAGATGGAGTTATGAAGGCTACATCCGGTTCGCTCGTGGTGATGAAAGGCATCAGGAGGAATAATTTGTATTACTATGAAGGTGAGACAGTTGTTGGGACAATAACAGTAGCAGATTCCACCAACAAGGAGTCTAAAGCAGTCAAGTTGTGGCATATGCGTTTGGGACATGCTGGTGAAAAGTCCTTGCAAACATTGGCAAAACAAGGACTGTTGAAAGATGTCAAAGTGTGCAAACTAGATTGTGAGCACTATGTTCTGGGAAAGCAGAAGAGAGTGAAGTTTGGAACGGCTATCCATAATACCGAAGGTGTCTTGGATTATGTTCATTCGGATGTTTGGGGACCTTCTAAGACCCCATCATTAGGCGGAAGACGGTATTTTGTCACTTTCATCGATGACTTTTCCAGACGTGTTTGGGTGTACACTATGAAGACGAAGGATGAAGTGCTTGGTGTCTTCATTACATGGAAGACACAAATTGAGAACCAGACTGGAAGGAAGATCAAGGTCCTGCGAACGGACAATGGTGGAGAATATACAAGCGATCCCTTTCAAGAAGTTTTCCGTAAAAATGGCATTGTTAGGCACTTCACCGTTAGACGGACACCACAACAAAATGGGGTGGCAGAGCGCATGAATCGAACATTGGTGGAAAAAGTTCGATGTATGTTGTCCAATGCTGGTTTGGGCAAGGAATACTGGGCTGAGGCTGTAACATACGCGCAACACCTCATAAATCGTTTGCCGTCATCTGCAAAAGATGGTAAAACACCGTTGGAGTTTTGGACGGGGAAACCTGTTGCTGACTATGGATCTTTACATGTCTTTGGGAGTCCTACGTTCTATCATGTGAAGGATTCAAAGTTAGATCCAAGAGCAAAAAAGGCTTTGTTCATGGGAATCACAATTGGCGTGAAGGGATATTGTCTTTTGTGTCTTGAGACGAAGAAAACTGTGTTTAGCAGGGATGTTACATTCCATGAACAAAGCATGATAAAGACGACACAAACCCAACAGGTGGAGTTGACACCGAAGCAGGTGGAGATAGATACGATGACGAGACAACCAGCTATGATCGATGAAACAATATCAAACGATTCTTCGGATGATGAAGTTCAGACTCATGAATCATTAGATTTGCCCATTGCATTGAGAATGCCCAGACGAGAGATTCAATAACCTGCTCGATTGGCGGATATGGTGGCTTATGCACTTCCAATTGTTAATGACATACCTTTCACTTTTCAAGATGCAATTCGAAGTTTAGAAAATGAGAAGTGGAAGTGGGCTATGGAGGAAGAAATGTTGTCCCTCCAGAAGAATCAAACTTGGAAGGTGACGCAACTACCAAAAGACAAGAAGGCGATAGGATGCAAGTGGGTATTTGCAAAGAAAGATGGATTTCCTCATAAGAATGATGTGCGCTACAAGGCAAGGTTGGTGGCTAAAGGCTACGCTCAAAAGGAAGGAGTTGATTATAATGAAGTGTTTTCTCCAGTTGTTAAACACTCTTCCATTAGAATTTTGTTGGCCTTAGCAGCACAGTTGGATTTAAAGCTAACTCAACTTGACGTGAAGACGGCGTTCTTACACGGATATTTGGATGAGGAAATCTACATGACTCAGCCAGAAGGATTCAAAATTCTTGGAAAAGAGAATTGTGTCTGTAAGTTGAACAAATCGTTGTACGGACTGAAGCAATCTCCGAGGCAGTGGTACAAACGGTTTGATAAGTTCATGATTGGGCAGAAGTACACGCGAAGCAGACATGATCATTGTGTGTATTTACGCAAGTGCAAGATGGATCTTTCATTTACTTACTCTTGTATGTGGATGACATGTTGGTTGCATCAAAAAGCCAAGTGGAGATTGATCAATTGAAGGCTCAGTTGAATCAAGAGTTTGAGATGAAATACTTGGGGGAAGCTAAGAAGATACTCGGGATGGAGATAAGCAGGGACAGAATGAGATGCAAGCTTTGTTTGACTCAGAAGCAATATCTGAATAAGGTACTACAGCGTTTCGGCATAAAAGATGAGTCGAAGCCAGTAAGTACACCACTTGCCCCTCATTTGAAGTTAAGTGCCAAATTGTCGCCAAATTTTGATGAAGAACGAGAGTACATGGCTAGAGTCTCATATGCAAATGCAGTTGGCAGTTTGATGTATGCGATGGTGTGTACAAGGCCCGACATTTCACAAGCAGTTGGTGTTGTTAGCAGGTATATGCATGACCATGGGAAAGGTCATTGGCAAGCTGTGAAATGGATTCTACGGTACATTCATAGTATTGTAGACGTTGGATTGGTTTATGAGCAGAATGAATTTGGTCGGTGTATAGTTGGATATTGTGATTCTGACTACGCGGGTGATTTGGATAAGCGAAGATCAACGA